GTTGTTGTTTTCTTAAATACAAACCGTTAGTTAATAAATTTTTTTTTAATCGTAAAAATGTTTCGAAATTAAAATTAGATAAATAAATAAATAAGACATCAAGTGATTATATTTACAATAAATCCTATTCGAATTAAATTTCAAATTCGACAAACAATTTGTCTTGTTGTTATTGACGAATAACAAACGACAAACAAACGAGAAAAAAAAAAAAAAAAAAAAAAAAAAAAGATTTTTAACGATCTCGTTAACTCGAAGTGGGAAGGTAAAATTTGAACAAATCATTTTCTTAAAAAATTGTTAAACATTTTTTTTTTTTTTTTTGTATTTCCTTTTTCAAGGTTGGCAAGGTGTTTGTTTGTTTGTCGAAAAAATTACAAAAAAGACGATAATAATAATAATAATGATACTTGCGAAACGGAAACGACAAAATTCGACGTTTCGTTATGTCGACTCTTTTAACAAAATGACCGCCGCAAAAAGTAACTTAAAAAAAAATTTTTTTTTTCTTTCCTGCCCATTACTACGATTTCATTAAAAACAGGAAAAGTTTTTTTTTTTTAAATTAAATTAAATTAAATTTATATGACGTCATCAATTAATTTAACCCCATTTTTTTCGAAAACTAAGAAAAGCTAAAAAAAAAACTAAAAATCATCTCCTTATAATGACGTAATTTTTTTAATTAATAGGTTATTCGATAATTAAAAAAACTCACGTTTATGTATCTTCTATTATCATTTTATTTATGTATTATTAAAAATAAATTCAATAATGATAATAATAATAATAATAATAATAATTAAAATTTACCGACAAAAATTTATATAAAAAAAAAGAAAATTTCAAACAACTAACAACAACTCGTAGAAAACGTTTTGCAAACAGTTTTTTTTTTACAATAAAAACTAATAAATAAATAAATTAATAAGTAAATAATTACGCGCGAATTTCAAAAAATTATTAACGATAATAATAATAATGAAAATAATGAAAATAAAAGAAATTTCCCATATCTTACCCGCTCCGATAAAAGTAGCAAAAAATGCACAAAATAACCAAAAGAAAACGGTTCCCTTCGTATTCATTTTTTTTTTTGTTATTAAATAATATTTATTTATTTATTTAAATAAATTAACGAAAATTATTAAAGAAAAATTAAAAATAAAATAAACGACGACGATTGTAAAATTTATACGTGCATCAGTTAAGGTTGAAATCGCGTTACTGAAATGATGAACACAGAAATCGACTTATAGGCGTCACCATATAGATGGCAACTCTTAAAATCCCAACAACAACAACAACAACAAATTATATTCGTTATTTCCCCTCCCCTCCCCTCCCCTCCTCCCCTTCCAACTCATTCGCAAAAATAATATTATTATTATTATTATGAAAAATTCAATAAACGAAATAAAAGTTATTCAACCTGATTAAAAATATTATCGAGTCCTTGTGTGCGTGTGCGTGTGTTGACTTGAAAACCAAAGGAAATATCACATAGGTACGATATTTGAAATCCTGTAATTCTGTACCTGTTTTTAAAATTATCGACCTAAATATATACTCGAACGATAACAACAATTTAATTTTCTATCAATCGATACACGCACACCCACACACACACACACACATAATAATAATAATTTACAAATTCTCTATGCGTTTGTCCTGTTTAATATTATTTATAATTTTTCAACCGTGACGGTCATTTTTTTAATTTTCGATTCGTTTTTACGTCGCCATTTTTTTTTTTTTTTTTTTTATTGTTTCTAAAAATACTTGAAACTTTATTTTAAAAAAATTTTTTTTTCCACTACTACTACTACTACTTACTGCAAAAAATCGAATATTGTACAAAATCGATAAAATTAATAAAAATATCGAACTCGATAATCGATACGATACGATATTAGTCACGTTTTAATAATTTTTTATATATTAATTATTTAATTAATGTATTTTATATATTTTAATTAAATTATTGGAGTGTAATTAATAACCGATCGTCTACATAAATAATAATAATAATAATACGTAAATCTTTTGTAATAATTAATAAAATTATCAAAACGATTTGGCATATAAACAAAATAAATAAAATCGATAAAAAACTAATAAATAATTTTTTTTTTTTAGGTCAGTAGTGTGTTTGTTCTAGAAAAAAAAACATTAAATTCGATTATTTTTCCCTCTTTTTTTGTTATCAAACAACAAAAACCATCTTAAATGTTTGTCACAAAAAAAAAAAAAAAAACATAAAAAAAAAAATTAGGAAAAGCTAAAACTTAAATTTTTTTTTCTCCAGCAAAATGGCGCCAGTCATTGTTCTCCGCCTTTCTGGCGTCTTTATTTTTTATTTAACAATTTTTATTATTATCATCACAGTTAGCAAATTTCCCCCCCCCCTCCTTACATCTATCATCAAGTAGTAAAAGTTTTTATTTGTTGTGCCAAATAAATTTCCTTATTTTGATTTATTGTCTCCTTTTTTTTTTTTTTTTTTTTTTTTTTTTAGGATAAAAAATATTAAAATAAAATTTAATCCAAATAACTATTGACTTAATAACTTCAGAAAAATAATATAACAAAACAAACACATGTTTATGATGTCAATTATCATTATTATTATGATATATTATGATTATTATATTTTATTGTTTTATAAGTGAATAATTTTATACTAAATTTGTTTTGAATACATAATAATATAATGAAACCCTAAAAACCAATCAGTTCATGGTTAACTGTTACTTGTATTAGTTATTAAAAGTTAATCTGTATCAGTTTCCTAAATTATTAATAATAATAATAACAACAACCAAATTTAATTAATAAAAATAAGAAATTATTATTCAACAACAAAAATTTTAATTTGATTTTTTCAAATCATTCTTGGATTTGTGTTATACATGAGACACATGGCTACTGAATATTGAATTCAATCAAATTAGCAAAATCGTTTACTATTTAAATAAGGCGTTAATCAAACAAGTAATTAACTCTTGTAAAATTCAATCAAATTCGTTATGCAATCATTTTATAAAATACACTCACATGTATCAAATTCAAATCGTTACCAACCGATGTTAATAATTTTACCTTGTCATTTTCTCATTTAAATAATCAATCGTTTAAAAATAAAACACAATATGGCGAGTATATAGAATCGAGACAATAATAACGTAAAAAAAAGTTTAATTTAAAAGTTATTTACCTGAGAAAAATCTTTATAAATCCAAATGATTAACACTAAAACACTCTGCTTGCGAATTACACACAACAATGTTTTCAACGTTCCGTTAAATGTCGTGGCATGAGAAAACTCACACATCGATGGCTAATTTTACTTAGCGGTGGTTTACTTTTTATTTACTCTATGGAATATTTATCATATTTACAATTGTTTTTCTTTTTTCTATTTTCATTTATTTATAATTATGTTATAAAAAAAAATTATTTTAACGAAATAAAACGAATAAATATATAATAAATTATAAATATATTTTATTTTTTAAATAAAAAGCATAGAAACTTGCTTAAAATTAATTAAAAACAATTATTTTATTTAAATGAATTTAATAAATAAAAAATTGTATGAACAAATACAAAATTCAATTAAAATTATTATTAATTAATAATTAAACAATTATTTAAGTGCTCGATAAATGTTTAAAAGCCTACAAAATTATTATATTTAATAAAATTATTTGCCAAATTAAATTATTGTTCATAATTTATATTATTTTTATTAAAAACAAAACATTTATAATTTTTTTTTCTTTTTTTTAAAGGGCACATAATTTAATGTTGACAAAAAAAAAAAAACAGGAATAATTTATTATCCCCGAAAAGGATAAATCTATGGAAAATCTTCATATTATAAGATCAATATAATTAAATTAATTAAAACATTTTTTAAACATTTAAAAATATATAAAATCAATATTATTGTTAATTAACCCGAATATTAATAAAAAAAACAAAATTTTCAATTCTCATTAATTTATATCATCCCCTCCCTCTCCCTCTCTTACACCCCCTCCCCACTAAAAATCCTTTAAATTTTTATTATTATTATTATTATATATTTGCGTGCATGTGTTTGCATCAATATAAAATTTTATAACAAAAAGAAAACTATATTATTATTATTATTATAAAATTAATTAATTACTCATAAAGCATAATAATAATAATAATAATAAAAGTAATAATTATCACTAATAAAAAGAAAAAATCATTATTATTTTTTTATTATTTATTTTTATAAATAAAGAATACAAATTTTTAATAGAAATAATAATAATAATCTTTGGTGTTATTATTGTACTTTGAGAAGAATAAACTTAAATAATAAAATAATTTAATAAACTAAATAATATTAATAATAATAATAATAATAATAATAATAAAAGTTATAAAGAAATTTAAAAAAAAAGTTTTTTTAATGACTAGTGTAGTTGACATGAATGACTTTTACTCATATAATTATTTATTTAAAGGTACATAAAAAAAAAATTTATTTTTTAATAAATATATTTACATGTTCGTCGATATTAAAAACAAACATTAAATTTTATTATGTAAAAAAAAAAAAAAAACAAAAAGTTTTATTTTTATCTATTGGAAAAAAATTTTTTTTTAAAACTCTACTAAAGTGTAATTATTTAAATTTTTATTGAGAATAAAACAAAAATGGCTTCTTTTAATGTTGCATGCAATCCTTTTATCAAAAAAAAAAAAAAAAATCGATATAAAAGTAAAGGATATCGTGTGCTTTACTACCACCACCACCACCACCACCCCCATCAGCACCACCACCACCACCATCCCTTCTCACATTATGTAGTATGACGTAAAAAAAAAAAGAAAAAAGTTTTTCCTGACGTTAAAAATTAAATAAATAAATAAATGAAGAAAATTTTATTTTATTTCAAATTCCGACAGTTTTCCCCCCCTGTTTTCTTCTTTACTCCCATTTTCCGACAAATTTTTCACGTTAACTTGATAAAAATTGATATGATCGTTAGGATAAGAATTAAATATTTTGAAATATTTTTTTTTATTCCTTTATTACATCCGTCTGTGTCGCAAAGTGAACATGATTTCAATATAATATCTTTTGATGTTATTAATTTAACGGCATAACAAGGATCGAAATTTTCCATTCGTGGAGCGGAACATCCTCTTCCTATCACCATGTTTCCCTCCACTGAAACATAAACAAACAAAAAATTAATTCGAACGTGTGTTTAATGAAAGAAAATTCCCTCCCTTTCTACCTCCCTACTCCCCCC